ATCTGTCACCAGCAGAATAAGAAGCCCCCTGCTGGGAAGCAGCTGCTTTCTAAGACTTCACTGAAATAAAATGAGACAGAGGGGGAGGAAAAGGCTCTATTGTGGGTGTGCTGCCAGGCGGAGGTGTGCTTTGTGTGTTGAGAGGAGGGGGAAATGGGAGGGGGGTATTAACATTTTAACACAAACACTCTGTTGTGTAATGAAATTACAGATAGGTCTATGATCTCAGAGTCTGCAAGGAGTGCAGTCCCATACAGGAGATAACCACCAGCACTGCACAATATCACAGGATGGGTACACCAGCACTGCACGATATCACAGGAAGGGTACACCAGCACTGCACGATATCACAGGATGGGTACACCAGCACTGCACGATATAGCAGGACGGGTACACCAGCACTGCACGATATAGCAGGACGGGTACACCAGCACTGCACAATATCACAGGATGGGTACACCAGCACTGCACGATATAGCAGGACGGGTACACCAGCACTGCACGATATCACAGGATGGGTACACCAGCACTGCACGATATAGCAGGACGGGTACACCAGCACTGCACGATATAGCAGGACGGGCACACCAGCACTGCACGATATCGCAGGACGGGTACACCAGCACTGCACGATATCGCAGGACGGGTACACCAGCACTGCACAGTATCACAGGAAGGGTACACCAGCACTGCACAATATCACTGGACGGGAACACCAGCACTGCACGATATAGCAGGACGGGTACACCAGCACTGCACGATATAGCAGGACGGGTACACCAGCACTGCACAATATCACAGGACGGTACACCAACACCGCACGACATCGGCCAGGACGGGTGTACACCAGCACTGCACCATATAGCAGGATGGGTACACCAGCACTGCACCATATCACAGGAAGGGTACACCAGCACTGCACAATATCACTGGACGTCACCAAAGCACTGCACGCATATAGCAGGACGGGTACACCCCAGCACTGCACCCATATAGCAGGACAGGTACACCAGCACCGCACGTATCACAGGATCGGTACACCAGCACTGCATGATATCACAGGAAATGTACACCAGCACCGTACAATATCACAGGACAGGAACAAAGCCAAGCGACCGCACAATATCGCTGGACAGGAACACCAGCACCGCACAATATGACTGGACGGAACACCAGCACTGCACACAATATCACAGGACAGAACACCAGCACTGCACAATATGACTGACGGAACACCAGACCGCACAATATCACAGGACGGGAACACCAGCACTGCACAATATCACCACACGGGAACACCAGCACTGCACAATATCACAGGACGGGAACACCAGCACTGCACAATATCACAGGACAGGAACACCAGCACTGCACAATATCACTGGACATGAACACCAGCACTGCACAATATCACCACACGGGAACACCAGCACTGCACAATATCACCACACGGGAACACCAGCACTGCACAATATCACAGGACAGGAACACCAGCACTGCACAATATCACCGGACGGGAACACCAGCACTGCACAATATCACAGGACAGGAACACCAGCACTGCACAATATCACTGGACAGGAACACCAGCACTGCACAATATCACCGGACGGGAACACCAGCACTGCACAATATCACAGGACAGGAACACCAGCACTGCACAATTTCACCACACGGGAACACCAGCACTGCACAATATCACAGGACAGGAACACCAACACTGCACAATATCACTGGACAGGAACACCAGCACTGCACAATATCACCGTACAGGAACACCAGCACTGCGCGAATTCACAGGACGGGAACACCAGCACTGCGCGATATCACAGGACGGGAACATCAGCAGTGCACAATATCACAGTATGGGAACACCAGCACTGCACAATATCACAGGACGGGAACACCAGCACTGCACAATAACACAGGACAGGAACACCAACACTGCACAATATCACAGTATGGAACACCAGCACTGCACAATATCACAATATGGGACCACCAGCACTGCAAATATCACGGGATGGGAACACAATATACCAGGATGTGAAAAAGCTCTTAAAAGTAGCCTGTTTTAAAAGATAATTTTTTTTTAATGGTAGTTCCCCTTTACGAAAGCCCTCTCTTAACGTGATCAACAAAAGTTTTTAGTGAAAGCTTTATTAGAAATGATTGCAAGCACCTGGGGTCCTAACTCTTCACTTATTAGTGAATGTTACACAAGTAACATATTCTGCATTTTAAAGCTATATATCAGTGGTGGCGACCCTCTGGCACTGCATTTATTGTGGAATTCTATGCACATCTGGCCCACCAGCCATTTAGTGTGACATGAAGTAGTTACTCCTGATATTTATTGTAATTTTGGGGTGACTGTCCATGTTTGGGATCTGACTATTTTCTCTCTCCATCCAGCAGGTACAGGACTCCCTCAGAGCTCCACAATGATAATTTTTCTCTCTCTACGATCGCCGAAGGCTCCCACCCAAATGTAAGGAAACTTTGCGACACTCCATGTCATGTGTCCCCCCATGCTCGTGCATTGGCTTACTATGATAACGTAATCTGTCAGGTAACTCGCCTGTTTCATGTCTCCCCTTCTGCATGCTTCAAGCTTCCCCCCCCACTGAGCAGGGCGGGTTCAATGCCAAAGGGCAGACTGTGACTGCTAGGAGCTGCTCCATGTAACCACCACTCCTTAACCACTGCCAAAACTGCTCACTCCTCTCTCATAATACTCCTATTACTAATAATGACATTATCTGCTTTAATTGCCCCATTGGGTAAGAGATGGGATGCGTTACCTGCCCCTATAATCGCCCTTCTAAATTCTAGTATAAACCCACCTTAAACTATATAAGTTCTCTGCTAGAGCATTACCATTACTAGCTCTCCACCTCCTCCCCAATACCCATTCCCAACTCCTTCCCTTTATCAGCTATCAATCACCCAGATCCTCCACTATATCAGTTTTTAATCCCTTCCCTATAACAGCTCTTCACACCTCCCCTAGCTCCACCCTTAAAGGTTATCAATCCCCAGCCCCTCCCTTATATTGGCTATCAGTCCCCAGCCCCTCCTCTATATCGATTATCAATCCCCAGCCCCTCCCCTATATCAGTTATCAATCCCCAGCCCCTCCCTTATATTGGCTATCAGTCCCCAGCCCCTCCCCTATATCGATTATCAATCCCCAGCCCCTCCCCTATATCAGTTATCAATCCCCAGCCCCTCCCCTATATCGGTTATCAATCCCCAGCCTCCCTCCCCAGCTGGGCTAATAATCCCCAGCCCCTCCCTGTAGCCCCCTATAATGGCTAACAATCCCCAGCCCTCCACTATATCTACTATCAATCCCAGCCCCTCCCCTATATCGATTATCAATCCCCAGCCCCTCCCCTATATCAGTTATCAATCCCCAGCCCCTCCCCTATATCGATTATCAATCCCCAGCCCCTCCCCTATATCGGTTATCAATCCCCAGCCCTACTCCACTATATTGGCTATCAATCCCCAGCCCCTCCCCTATATTGGCTATCAATCCCCAGCCGCTCTCCTATAGCCCCTATATTGGTTATCGATCCCTAGCCCCTCCCCTATATTGGCTATCAATTCCCAGCCCGTCCCCTATATTGGCTATCAATCCCCAGCCGCTATGAGTGCCGGAAGAGCCCCTCCCAAAATAGATTGATGGAAAACAAGAGGATCACTCCATAAACTCCTAGCACCATAACCACTACATACAGACTACGTGATGCCCTAATTCAGTGGTTATGGTGCTCAGTGTGTCCCATTAATACTGTAAAATGACGTGCTGACTGTACAGTCTACGTGATGCCCTAATTCAGTGGTTATGGTGCTCAGTGTCCCATTAATACTGTATAATGACGTACTGACTGTACAGACTACGTGATGCCCTAATTCAGTGGTTATGGTGCTCAGAGTGTCCCATTAATACTGTATAATGACGTACTGACTATACAGACTAGGTGATGCCCTAATTCAGTGGTTAAGGTGCTCAGAGTGTCCCATTAATACTGTATAATGACGTACTGACTGTACAGACTACGTGATGCCCTAATTCAGTGGTTATGGTGCTCAGAGTGTCCCATTAATACTGTATAATGACGTACTGACTGTACAGACTACGTGATGCCCTAATTCAGTGGTTATGGTGCTCAGTGTCCCATTAATACTGTATAATGACGTGCTGACTGTACAAACTACGTGATGCCCTAATTCAGTGGTTATGGTACTCAGAGTGTCCCATTAATACTGTATAATGACGTGCTGACTGTACAGACTACGTGATGCCCTAATTCAGTGGTTATGGTACTCAGAGTGTCCCATTAATACTGTATAATGACGTGCTGACTATACAGACTACGTGATGCCCTAATTCAGTGGTTATGGTGCTCAGAGTGTCCCATTAATACTGTATAATGACGTGCTGACTGTACAAACTACGTGATGCCCTAATTCAGTGGTTATGGTGCTCAGTGTCCCATTAATACTGTATAATGATGTGCTGACTGTACAGACTACGTGATGCCCTAATTCAGTGGTTATGGTACTCAGAGTGTCGCATTAATACTGTATAATGACGTGCTGACTGTACAGACTACGTGATGCCCTAATTCAGTGGTTATGGTACTCAGAGTGTCCCATTAATACTGTATAATGACGTGCTGACTGTACAGACTACGTGATGCCCTAATTCAGTGATTATGGTGCTCAGTGTCCCATTAATACTGTATAATGACGTGCTGACTATACAGACTACGTGATGCCCTAATTCAGTGGTTATGGTGCTCAGTGTCCCATTAATACTGTATAATGACGTACTGACTGTACAGACTACATGATGCCCTAATTCAGTGGTTATGGTGCTCAGTGTCCCATTAATACTGTATAATGACGTGCTGACTATACAGACTACGTGATGCCCTAATTCAGTGGTTATGGTGCTCAGTGTCCCATTAATACTGTATAATGACGTGCTGACTTACAGACTACGTGATGCCCTAATTCAGTGGTTATGGTGCTCAGTGTCCCATTAATACTGTATAATGACGTACTGACTGTACAACTACGTGATGCCCTAATTCAGTGGTTATGGTGCTCAGTGTCCCATTAATACTGTATAATGACGTGTTGACTATACAGACTACGTGATGCCCTAATTCAGTGGTTATGGTACTCAGAGTGTCCCATTAATACTGTATAATGACGTGCTGACTATACAGACTACGTGATGCCCTAATTCAGTGGTTATGGTGCTCAGAGTGTCCCATTAATACTGTATAATGACGTACTGACTGTACAGACTACGTGATGCCCTAATTCAGTGGTTATGGTGCTCAGTGTCCCATTAATACTGTATAATGACGTGCTGACTATACAGACTACGTGATGCCCTAATTCAGTGGTTATGGTGCTCAGTGTCCCATTAATACTGTATAATGACGTGCTGACTATACAGACTACGTGATGCCCTAATTCGTTGTTTGCATGTATTTTGTCCCCATGCTATCATGCTCTGCACCCGCCCTCCTGCAGTCTAGCAGCAGCTATTGGCTTTGTTGCTGCCATTAATATGGATGCTCTATATGTGCCCCTCTGCCTCCCTATTGTTACAATGTTCTGGTTGTCTCATGGGCAGTGCCAGCTGCCCCCATCACTGTGTGTACCAATCATTGTACAGTGCGCTGGTGATTGTGGATGAAGAATTTGAGGATCCCCGTCTGGATGTCAATGGAAAAAGAAACATTAATTAAGATATGTTCTACACAAGGAATTGGGTTAATTTATAGCCGCCTCCCGACCAGAACCCACACCGCAATTAAAGCAGATCGGCCACGGTTTTAACACGAGTTCTGTGAGAATCTTTCTGGTTTTATTTCTCTTTGGGTCAATGTTTGTCCCATTTGAAAAGGATTACTTTTCCTGCACAATAAAATAAAGAATTATATAAAAATAAAAATAAAATGATTGCTAGGATCCAAGCAGAGGCTCCTTTATCTTATGGCCTTTCTTTCTGAACGTGGTAATTAATTTATTACTCTCCACTTATATCCAATCCGAATTCGGATCGAGTTATATAATCAGTCCTGGTCTATGCAGAGCAGTAACATTGAAATCGAAATACAACGTAAAACCAAAGTTTGATCATTTATGCATAAATACTGTATCCCATTACAGACAGTGTGCGGTTAGTACTAATTCATTTAACGTGTGGCTGCAGTGCCAGCGCAGTGACGGTCACTGCAGCTATTGCCTACCAACTATGGTACCAGCAGCAACAGAACCCGATCACATGTCAAGTGCCCGTAGGCACAGAAATCTTTTTAATTTATTCAATCTTTGTTTGGACCGCAGGTTATACAAAAAGACTAGGACGTGATGCCCTAATTCAGTGGTTGCATGTTGCTAGTGGTGTACAGTAGCAAATGAAACAGGTTGACAGTATGCCATCAGCATACAGTAAATTAAAGTCACATATCAAACCGCACTCCAATATTTAAAGGGGCAGTAGAGTGTCAGGAACACAAATGTGTATTCCTGACACCATAGTATGAAAACCACCATTTATGTTGTCCCCCCTCACCCCATCCTCTGCTTTATTGCCAGTTAGAAAGGTTTCCAGCGCTTTATGCTGAATCATAAGAATTGATTATCTCAGCCAGTCATAATGCTTTCTACAGGAGTGTAATGTATTTAATAACTGGGCAGTGAAGGCATGAAAAAAAATATGTATTTAAATTTAATAACAGCATATGTATACAGGAGGACCCAAAAGAAGGGATACAGTTGAATCTATTAAATTACATTACAACACATTATATGGATGCACTTACACACTGACACACAACAAAGTGTCCGTTACATTGCAGACATTAAAATATCACTGTGGCAATTGGAAAGAGGGCAGATAAAATATGTATTTAATAATAATTGTACTGGAAGACTGAAATTAACTATTCTGTATGCCTACTTTTGGGCCACCCTATATATGTGAATATTTCTAATTGCAATGTATTGTATGTATTG